AAAAATTCTTTCCCAATTTTTTACCTTCCTTCTAATCTTAGTTGCATTGGCTTTTTTGTGCAAAAACTTTTCAATTTAATGTAATCAAAATTCTCCATTTTGCTTTTCATAATGTTCTCTATCTCCTGTTTGGTCATGAATTCTTCTGTTCTCCATAGATCTGATAGGTAAACTATTCCTTGTTCTCCCAGTTTACTTATGGTATCAGCCTTTATATCTAAGTCATGAACCCATTTTGACTTTATTTTGGTCTATGGTGTGAGATTTGGGTCTATGCCTAGTTTCTGCCATACTCTTTTCCAGTTTTCCCAGCAGTTTTTTTCAAGGAGTGGGTTCTTATCCCAAAAGCTGGGGTCTTTGGGTTTATCAAATAATAGATTGCTATAGTCATTGACTACTGTGTCTTGCATATTTAACCTATTCCACTGATCCACCTCCCTATTTCTTAGCCAAGCAGTTTTGATGATTGCTAAAGCAGCTCTAATTCTTGAATCTTGAGGATGTAGCCCAGAGCATTCCATGTAATAAGCATTTGAAGTGGTTGTTGCATGAAGTTATTGACCCCAAAACTCCACGTGAATATATCCCTGGCGTGTACTTGCTGAGCACAGCTCCTATCACCATGGTGAGATACCAGCAAATTCAATTTCCAAAATGTTTGGATCATTTTACAATTCCACAAACAATGAATTTTTCTCTGTTCCAATAAAGGTATTTTCTCTAGAAAGCACTATCCATAGTCCAGTGTAACACACCCTCCTTTGCTCCTCCTTGCCAAAGACCCTAAAATTAGTTGTCTCAAACCAAAATACTATCACAAGGATTCATCTTGTAGATGCGAATCCAGAGAGATACTAGGGACTCAGAATTTCATAGAAGGGTCAGGATCAGCAGTCAGGACCAGAGCCTGACTCTTGTGAGTTAATATCTGGAGATATAAACTCTGAAAGAAAGCTATTAGAAGTAAAGATAAATGTCTTACTTGGGAATATTACTTCTCCTTTTTTCATTTTTGATGGAGATAAGGAAACAATAAGAGTCACCAATTCCTGTCCAGAAAGACCATGATCTTACTTTAAGGTGAGGGGTATATTAGAACACCAGCTCAAACAGAAAAAGGAGGAAAGGATAGAAGAAAGAGTTACTGCAGAGATTCAGTCCTCCCCAGCAACAGGGCAAAGACTTTTATTTGGAATATAGCAAAAATAAAGTTTTTTTCTGGCTCCATACTTTGGTTAAAAAATACATTTGTTTTTCATCTCTAATTAGCAGCTCCAACATTTAACTTAAAACTGGTCTACTGTGAGATTTGGAAACTCCTTTAGTGAACCATGGACCTCCATGTTCTTATTAGAAAAGTAAGGATTTGCATAAGATCATCTCTCAACCTCCTTCTCAAACTGAATTCTGTGAGCCCATGACCCAGTGAATTTCAGTGTGTGTGCAGTGGATTTTTTGGTTATTCTTTCTTAGAGTTTTCTTCCCAGGATCCATAGCCATAACAATCTCTACTTCCCAGGTGTTAGATATGAGTTCTCATGATCATGGTTCAAAACAGTTTATACTGCAGTCACTGTAGATATAGGGATGAAGTGACGTGAAATAGTGAGGCTATTGCTGGCAATATGCCTTCTTTGTTGCCCTATACAGTGAGTGGGTACTGCTCAGTGACTGGGGACCCCATAGGGGTGAATGTGTAGGGTGAATGCTGTGTTTGCCTCAGCCAGCCCCCATTAAGGCTTGAGGGGATCTAGGGGAGTGCGCAAGTTGTGCTGGTCTTTGCTGACCCCATCGACTAAGGGGTAGTTGCCCCACCCCTTCACTCTGACCCATACAAGAAGGGTTGTTCGGGAATGCTGTAGGAGTTGGTGCTCCCATTATCAGCAAACTCCCTTTGAGAAGACTAGACTAGAATAAAGTAAGCTTATTTCACCCTTTATTATGACTCCAATCCTGTCTTCTTGTCTAACCTGATCAAAAGCAAACCTGATAGTGAGAGAGGTGCTAGAATTTCCTCCTGTGTCTTTTTCCTTAGAAATAGCATAGTCAGTGTGTTTACTTGTCCAACAGATGTTCAGAAAGTGAAGTTTTCAATTGTTTTCATAAATTTGGCCTAAATCTTATCTTACATTCATTAAATGTTTGTCACCTATTATTTTATTGACCTCTTAATATTTAGAAATAATGATTGCTGTGATTAGTAGAGTTTGAGCTTTTTGAAATAAAATTTGCCTGGGCAGATGTCTCCTTTTTGTTTCTGATTAATATCTTCCAAGAGAGTACAGGCAGAACACTGATCAGGTGCCAAATTATGTGTAGGAGGAGGGGGTGGGAAAGTGTAGTCAAACCATAGAAGACAGGCTTATATAAGGTGACAGACTAAGATGGAGAGTTTCTTATTTCAAGACCCTTGCAGTTTCTGACTTAGGATGAATTTCTGAGCCTCAAATAGGAATTTCTCACATTCTGAAACAATTTCAATTTTTCTATGTATCAGTTATTTAACTGATTCTTTTGTTTGCTCAATGGTCACAAGACTTCCAGGCTTAGTGAAAGTAAGAAAAAATCAAATCCTCCAGATATTTCTTACTTGAATATTTAATAGTTTGATGAAATCACCTGTACTTCTGTTAACGAACTTAGGATAAGGTTTTTGGTTTTGTCTTTTTTTTTCTCTTGATTGAGAAAGTGAATTTTATCAGTGACACCTACATTTTTCTGATCATTACTCTAATTTTTATAACAGGTTTTCTAGAACAAGTGTTTTTTTTTTCCTTCTTCCTAGCCATGATTAGCTTGATAAATGACAAGGCATGAATTCTGGTAGGACAAGGGAACAAGAATTCAAAGGCACAATATACAATCTTTTTGAATGGGTCAACTAGAAAGAAAATAGTAAATACATAAAAGTAAATCCAGAAATGGGGTGAAAATTTGGGATAACAGGCACAGATTGACTGGATATCTCAGTGAGGATGAAAAATTGGTTTAGCAAGAGTGACAAAAGGGGGTTAAATGAAAGGACTTAAGACTATGAAAAAAGGGGGGAATTTCTAAGTTTAAAATCAAAGAAATGTGATGGTGATGGTGAAATATATGACACGACACCAGTGTGATCACATGCTGAAATACTGTGGATATATATCACTACAATTGAGGAGGCTGATGAACTAGAAGGCTAGCATCTCTAAGGAGACATCAATATAAAATACATTAAAATACTGAAGTAGGAGGACAGCTGAAACCGTTACTTGAAAATGGAATGGAAGACACCTGTAGATCAGTTTGTTTCATCAAAAAGGATGAATGACACATGAAGCAAGCCTGTAAAATAGTTTTCAGAGTGATTGAGAGGAGGGGAAGAAGAAGAGGGAGAGAGGGGCAAATGGATTCCTTCTCCTGGCCCAATTTGGGGCAGTCAGGAGAAAACCCTACTAACTTTTAATAGAGCTGTCAGGGATAGAGAATTTCATGAATTTTGTCAGGTCTTCAAAAAACACCAGAGGGAAGACAAGATATGATATGAAGAGGTCTATGATGAATGGGGTTTTGTGCACTGATTTCTGAAATATACACTTAGGATCTCCGATAGAAGTAAGTCCACTCTGACACACTATCTCTATTGTCTCTGACTTCCCAAGACCTGAGATTTCCAGTGAACATGAATTTTCTTTAGGTAGACCTTGAAACAGGGCTTGGCTTCTTGGGGTTCAGCATTTGCTCTGGAATACTACCTATGGCAGGTGGATTATTTTCTCCAGTCCTTTTCTCAGTGCTAATCTGTAACTTTTGAAGCATTTGATACTGTTGACTATCTGTCCACCCTGGTTTTCATGATAACTGTCTGCTAGTTCATCATCTCTCTTTTTGGTTGCTTCATGAATTCAGGTCTTTTTCTGCATGCCCCACAGACAGATGTGTTCTAAGGTTCTACTAACAACAAATCTCAAACTATTATAAAGCAGTAACGAATAAAAATACTGGTTAAAAAAGTAGAGAGACAAACAGTGGAACAGTAGTGTCACCACATATAGAGGCTAGCAAACACAGTAATATAACATTTGATAAATCTCCAAACCCCAGAACCCAGAGTAAGGATTCACTATATAACAAACATTTTTTGGAGAACTGGAAAAACCAGTCTGGCAGAAAATAGGTTTATTCTGGAACCTCACAACATTTACCAAGATAAGTTCCAAATGAATTTGTGACCTAGATCTAAAAAAATCACATCATAAAATAGATTTGAGATACAAGGCAGGAATAAACTGTCAATCCTGTGCATAGGACAAGAGTTCACGACCAAACAAGGGATAAAGAGGATCACAGAAGGGATAATGGACAATTTATATAAAATTGAAAATTCTTCTCACAGACAAAACCAATACAGCTACAATTTGAAGGGAAAAATATTTGTAGCAAATTTCTCTGAAAGTGACCTAATGTCCAAAATATATTAGCTCCTCTATATTCAAAGTGTACAATCTTTCCACTGTATTGATCAGGTTGCATGTCTATGGATACTACATATAATGTCACATTATTGGGTTTTTTTTTAATAGTTAACTTTCCTCATTTAAAAAAATCTTGTCTATCTTACCCTACAGGAAAATAGAAGGGGAAGGGAGTGGGGTGGGGAGACAGAAGGGAGGGCAGATTAGGGGAAAGGGTATTCAGAATGCATACCATCTTGGGGTGGGGGGAGAGAAGGAGATGGGGAGAAAATTTGGAACTCAAAATCTTGTGGAAGTTGTGAATGTTGTGTGTCTTGTGAATGTTGAAAATTAAGAATAAATAAATTTTTAAAAATCTTTTAAAATCTGTTTTTAAAGGGAGATTCTCTGGGAGGGAGAAGGAGGAATATGTTGGGAAATGTGGGTGCCGGACAATTTTAAAAATCAATAGAAATTTTTAAAAAGGGAAAAGAAATGGGAAACAACTGAATGGTGAGTGTAGGGGTAAAAACACAATACTGTTTCTTTCTCTCCAGGTCTAGGAACATGGAGGTTAGAGATCTGATTGCACATCTTAAGTACGAGCTCACCTGTGCCATTTGTTTGGACTATTTCACTGAGCCAGTGCTCGTTCCCTGCGGGCACACCTTTTGTAAAGCATGTCTGCTCCAGTGCTGGGAGGAAGCTCCCACAAGAGGGATTTGCCCTGAGTGTAAGACAGTCAATGAATCCAGACACTTTATTGCAAATTTGGATGTGGAAAATCTAACCCTCACTGGCAAACTGATCAGACCTCATTTGCTGCAAATGGTGGGAGGCCCAAGCTTCTGTAAAGAACACCAGCAGGTCCAGGAGCTGTTCTGTGAGGATGACCAGAGGCTTCTCTGTAAGGCCTGCTTCTCTTCCAGGGAACACATATTTCACAAGGTCTCTCTTTTAAAAAAGGCTGCTGAGAGCTACAGGGTAAGATTTTCTACTTATCATGAATCCCTGGGAAAATGTTAGTTCCTTCACTTGGCTCTGTACCTAGCCATTGATGGTCCCTACCCTATTTTAATTCATTGTTTGATACCTTTTATCTAGGGCTAAGGAACCTATGGACTTCTGACTCAGTTGGAAAGCCAACTTCCCAACCTTTGTAAACTTCTTATCTGAAAGATGAGATGTTGTGAATCTAAAAACGAATTTCCTTGGGGTTCATTGTCCATGTCTCTCTTGCAGAAGAAGCTCCAGGAGATGTTGGAGAAGTTGAAGGAAAAAACAAAGGAGGCTGACATTGCAATCAATAATGAGAAAAAGAATATGGAACAGTGTCAGGTCTGTGTCTCTGTCTATCTTGGCCTGTGATCTCTCTGGCTTGTTCCGTGAACAGATACTAGGGTCTTGGGGGTAGGAACAAGGGGAAAAGTAAATGTTCAAAGAGTATAGCTATGTCAGAGAGCAAGATGTGTGGATTGAGAGGAAAAACACATAGAATCATATTTAGATCATTAACATCCCAATTTCTCTTCTGGCAGGTGAAGATGCAGACTTTAAAAGGGGTAATTGTATTTGAATATGCAAAAATGTACCAGTTCTTGATGGAGGATGAAAAACAACATCTGGCATGCCTGGAAAAATCATATGAGAAAGAACTGGGAGAAACTGGTGAAGAGTGAGGCCCAAGCATCCCAGCATAGTCAACACCTCCAAAAAACAATTGGAGAACTAGAGGATGTCTTAGAAAAGCCAGCCTCAGAGATGCTCCTGGTAAGCATTTGAAAACAACAAAACAAACCTCTCCAAAAATATTGTGGTATATTATATGAGTAGAAGGAGCATGTCATGCAACCCCTAGGACATTGAAAGGAATGCTTATGGCTTTTTTAATATGTTTGACCTTCACCCCAAGCATTTTATTCTCCACCCCACCCCACACCCCTGTTCTTTCCTCGTAGTTTGGGCTCAGTGGTAATTTACATTCACCAGATAACATCTGGAGGACACTGCACAGGTTCTAATGCCACAGTTCAGAAAAGACATTGTTGTTCTGATACGTGTCCTGAAAGGGGCAAGTAGGGTAACGTAGATGGATTAGGTGAAGGCTGAAAGAATGTTTAGAAGTACAAAAGAGAAGGTTAGAGGAGAAATACTTTCTTGTCTTCAAGCATATGAAAGTTTGCATGAAGAGGTTATACACATTTTGCTTGGCCACAGTGGACAGAGGTAGGACAAATGGAAGTACTAGGAAGGAATTTGTGACTTGGTGTAGAAAACTTCTTATAGCAATTAGAACTGTGCAAAAATGTCATGAGGTGCCTCGTCTTCCACAGGAAGGCTGTGAAGGCTCAATGTTACACTGTCTCTTCTAAGATGTTACACTATCTCAAAAGATTCATGCTTCACTTATGTATATGAGAAGGAAGAAGATGAGGACTCTTCCAACTCTGTTTCTATTTTTCTAAGAAACAGAAAATTTTACAAATGAAGTTTTCTGGTGGTGAATGGGGAAGTAAGTTCTTCTCCCTCTGCTCTTTGACCTTTTGGAGAATAATGCTTGGACAACTGGGGACCTGATATTTCATTTCAGCCTTATGTTTATTCAGAGTCAATGAAGGAATTCCTCTCTTCAAGAAGACATGTAATTGTTAGAAAGTTTTTTTCACCCCTGTTATTTGGCTTATATGTCTCTTTATATCTCTCACTAGTATTTCAGGTTTAGCCTTCTGGGGATAAAGAGAACAAATCCAAGTCCCCTTCCATTGGCAAGCCTTCAAACACTTGAACACATCTGTCCTCTGTGTCTTCTCTTCCTATGGCTGAACATCCCTAGTTCTTTCTAACCTGACCAAAAATAGAGACTCTTCACCATCTTGGTTGAATTCCTCTGAATTTTTCCAGCTTAACAATGTCCTTTTAACTTAATGTCCCAAACTGAACACACTACTCCAAATGCAGCTTGATGAGGGCACAGTGTACAGAAAGGACTACAGCTTCCTCACTCCTTGAATTTGAGCCTCTCTGAAGTGAGCTCAAGATGGCATTAAATTTATCAGTCACATCATGAGCTGGTTCATATTTTCCAACAAATGAAAGCCCTAGATCTTTTCCTGCCTATCCATGCTTATATTTCATCCTATGAGCTTCCACAGGCTTTTTAAAATTTTTATTTATTTAATTTTTAGTTTATGGAATAAAATGAGCAAACAAAAAAGATGGCTTCACATGAAACTGCAAATCTGTTACGTACAAGTTGCTATTCTTTTAAAATATATAATAAAATTATCATGTAAATTTCTTTTTTCCTTTTCCTCTTCCCTCCCCTCTCTGCCCTAGAGATGGCTACACTAAGACACAAATGTATGTGTGTGTATGTGTGTGTGTGTGTGTGTGTGTGTGTGTATGTGTATATATAAAATCATTCCATATGTACCTCTAGACGGTTAAGGTCTTTTAATTCCTGAATTTATTCCAGTGTGTTAGGTTTGCCCACTTGGGTCATCTGCCAATTTAATGAACCTGCCATCTATGACTCCATGTTGACCATGGATAAAAATATAAAATATCATAGATACCTCAGATATGCCACTGAGTAATAAGCAAATGAGATGATACTAACCTATTAAATCTAGTCTTTGAATTTATCCATTCAACCAGTTCTATACCTATCTGATATAATATGCTGCTGAAAACTCAAGGAAAATGTGGACTTAGAAGAAGCTATAAGATCTTAGAATGTAAAAGTCATTGCTGATTGAAGAGAATAGTTTCATTGGAGTGATGAGGTCAGAAGCTAGATTCTTAGGCTTAAAAAGAGAGAGGAAAGGAAGTACAGACAATGAGGGTATATAGGTAGATGTAGGGGTTTGCTTATGGAAAAGTTGAGAGATCTAAAATGATAGCTTTTTCTTTTTTCACTTTTTGTTTTAAATTTTTATTTATTTTTTGGACTAAAGCAAGCCTTTCCATAACTGTGTGTGTGTGTGTATGTCTATCTATATACATGTGTGTGTGTGTATGTGTGTATGTGTGTGTATATATATATACATATACATATACACACACATTATGTATATATGTGTGTGTGTATATATATTTATTTAGCAATTACACATGTGATGGTAGGTTAAGTAAAGGTGTTCCAAAAATGAGAAGACCATGGACATTTTGATATGTAGAAGGGATGGATTAGGAGAGATTGAGAATTGGGGAGAGAAGATGCTAAAAAAAAAAAGTCAGATTACCAGAAGAGATGGGAAGGATTTGAATTGGCATAAAGAGGAGAACTGAACCCCCTTGAGGCTCTCATTCAGTCTCCTGGGCCTTATTGAATTAAAAACCTGGTAAACTGTAGTCAGTTTTCAATAACTATCTCAGTCCTCAAATAGGATCAGACACATTCTCCCAATCCCCTTCCATTCTGAGAAAGAATCATGTTGTTTTTGTCAAGTAGGTTTTCTTTGCAAGGAAGAGGAGAATGAGGTTCCTATCACAATGGGATCATTGTTGGATTAAATCCACCTAAAGAGGTATCAGAGTATGGTTCTAAGCCCCTTTTCTTCACCTTAAGTTCTATTTTTGTATTATGTGTGAGTAGTAGCTTCTAGAAGAATGGAGACTTTAAAGATAGACTTCTGTGATTTCTAAAAATGACAATATCTTAGGAATTGTCAAAGGCTCAAGAGACTAAACTAATTTCTTTTTCTCTGCACAGGATGCAAGAAGCACATTGGAAAGGTGAACTCACATTAGACAAACTCATTCAGAATTACAGCATTTGTGATGATGCAGTCTGGAATTCATCTCTGATATAGATCTGTGATTAGGTTAATGCTCAATATGTAATTCATAAGACCTGGAGCCAGACCAAAAGGTAACCAGCTGTCCTTTTTGTAGGAGTGAGGCCTTGCTACTTCAGTGTCCACAGGCTACTTCCCAAGAGTGGCCTCGGTGCCGAATCCTTGGAATGAGGGATATGCTGATGACCTTCCATAGTAAGACTCTCCTGCTTTCTCAGCCATTCCCCTACAGTGGGGTTTGATATATGTCACCTAGTTGTTCCCTTGATAAAAGTACTTCTGCCAGTATTGTCATATGGATGGAGTTTTTTTTTTCTTGTCATTGTCCTCTTTGGGAGGAACCCAAAAGAAGCAGTTAAGGGTCAGATAATAAAATTAGTTTTTCTAATGTTTTTGCATAACTTCAAATTGTTTTTTTTAAATTTAGTCCAAATCATGGCACCACCAATAGTGAATCAGTGTGTCTGTGCTCTAGCATCCCTGACCATGTTGAATTCTCATATTATGTACCATGTCTACAAATATGATGGGCATGAAGTGCAATTATATTAAAGCAATCGTGGCTTTGGCTATCTGATGACATGGTGGTGGCAGGGCATATTTAATACCTATAGTGTTCTGGAGATTCCTATATTTGTGCCCCCTCAAAGTGATCAAAGGGTATTGTGGCACCCCTAACAAAAGAAAATGTGTCAGACTGGTGGGTCAGTGCATGTTGGGATGGAGGAAGCCAGAAGAGGGTTAAATTTTCTAGTGACTCAATTATATCCATGGTTGGATTCTATCTTCCCAATGTTTCTCTTCCTTTCTTGTTTCAAAAGAAAGGCATAAATAACCATTTAATCTTCTGATAATATCCCTCACTGCAACATAATTATTTCATCTTGATTGGATAGTATTGCATATTTTAAAAATGCCTTCTCTGATGGATTGTAAGCTCCATGAGGACTGGGACCTTTGAAGAGCAGAATCTATCAAAAGTTATTGAAGGCTACATATTTTAAATCAAGTTTCAGAGAAAACTATTTCTACCAAGACTCAATGCATATCTGAGATCAGTTATTTATACTTGTATTTTTTTAATGACATTAGCAGCTCATTCCTTCAGAAAATACTCCAAGGAAGCACATGTTGCTTGTAGAGAAAAGACATCTAATAAATGGTTTCTGAATTATGAATTAATTAATTAATGCATAGTTGAGGGAATGTGTTAATGACAATTTCTAAATAATGACTGATGTTATACCCAGTTGGGACTAAGCATCGTAAGAGTTTCCCCTAGTTTTAAGCATTGTTATTTTCTGATGTTGATCAAGTCATGATCATGATATGTGTAGATAGAAGATGCTTTTTAAATGGACAATGGATTATGAAAGAAAGAATGCATGCATGCACAAGTGAATGAAAGAAGGAATTGCTCAGGGTATGTGTGATTTCCAAATAATAATTGATAGTGAAGAGGTCTAGGGTTTTTAGGGTTCTGTTGGAAACCCCAAGATCAGGGTACCAGGCCCTGCCTGAATGAATTCAACTCATATCTTCTTCAGCCAGAGAAAAGGTTTATTAGTGGTAAATCACATAGGCCAGGTGATGGCTGTAAGGACTAGCAGGCATGAGAAAAGCTCAGCCTTTGGGCCCGAGATTCTCAGCATCTGAATGGGGGCCAGGGTGGATCTTAAATACAATAAAATCACTTTGGGTGGCCAGAGGAACTGGCTGGGAAAAGGGTCTAAGTAAGGATTCTAATTGGGGAGGTCTGAATAAACAATGGGATATAGCTAAGGGGGGGGGGAAGGAGAAGGCATTTGTCAAAGGGAGATAAGGGGAGTCAATAAGGAACCTGAAAATTTAAGTGTTTTATGGGGCCTGTAATGAAGGGAGCTGGAAGGCATCTTAGTAAAGTCAAAAGGTGTAGGCTAAGGCTTCCAAAGGGAGATGAGGAGATGGGGTCTGTAGACAAATGGGAGCCAGATTCCCTTTGGGACAAAGGTGGGGTGGGGGGAGATCTCTGAGCTCACCCCATCAATAGTATACCCACTTGGGACAAAGATAAATGATAGGGAATTACTGATGTTGACCTCTGAAGTTTAGAATGTCCAAATCTAAAATGCTTCTTCCTCTCCTTTCAGGAGATATAACTCTGGACCCTGAAACAGCCAATCCCTATCTCCTCTTGTCTGAGGATCTCAGAAGTGTGACGATTGGAAGTACCATGCAAGAAGTTCCTGACAACCCAGAGAGATTTGAAGGTGCTGTTATTGTTTTGGGTACTCAGAAATTCACCCAGGGAAGACATTACTGGGAAGTAGAGGTGGGAGACAAGACTGAGTGGTCAGTGGGGATCTGTAGAGATTCCACTGACAGGAAGGGTCGGTTGTTACCTGTAGATGTGTTCTCTCTTACAGGCTTCAAAATGAGAGATGATTTCATTCTCTGGGTTCATGACATAATGGAAGCATTTTTAATACCTGAACCTTTGCATAAACTAGGCATTTTCCTTGATTATGAATGCAGACATATAGCATTTTACAATGTTACCAGCAAATCCCTTATCTATAGTCTTTTAAATGTGGACTTCCAAGGGCCTCTCCGGCCTTTCTTTTCTCCTTGCATACCAAACAAAGACAGCATTATTAGACCCCTGACCATCCGTACTATGACTGACCAGGAAGCTGGTGACCCTTATAAGGTCTTCCCTATGGAGTAAAGTCTTAAAGTACTCGATGTTTAAGATGAAAACCATTACTAAATTCAAGGGCCAATAGTAAGAGTTGAATTGATTTCCGTTAATTGGATCTGATGTTAAATAGGCTAAATAGAACAGTTTAATTAGGTCATCAAAAATAAAAACAATTAAAATCCTGTTTCATTTCTTCACTAAAACCCAACATTTCATTGTTACATCAGCTCCAATCACCAAATGAAACCACCCACTAAATAATTAGTTTTTATTTCACCATCCCTCAAGTAATGGGCCCAGCATACAAATGTAATAGACTATGTTGACAACGGCACCTATTAAATGTCATATTTGAATAGAACAAATGAGTATAATTGCAGGAGTACAGCTTAAACTCTAAAATCTTGGATGAGAAACATAGTGATGTCCGAGAGGAAAAACACGGATCCAGAATTAGTTTTTCTACAAGCAATGAAGCTATTCATACAAATGCAATTTGAATAAGGATTCTTACATCATCAGATCCTGGTTTCTTCATTTTATGGAAAACTTCCTCTTCCAAGCAATTGTAGCTATATTATATATTATATGATAAAGCGAACATGTGACTCTGTTACTTTTATTTGTTAATATATCTGAATGCTATTAAATAGCTAGCTTCATTTAATAAAAAGGCATTTCATTACTTTTGTGTTAGTATTTTTCCATCCAAGTTTCACTCTATACTCTGCTAAAAGCAACACCTGAAAGCCTCAAATAACTCTTTCTTTTGTTATTTCATTTCTTATCTTTTGATTTGGTTCAATTGTTCCCTCATATGGTGGTGGGTGTCCATTTTCTTAAAACAGCACAGTCCCAGTTCATTGAAGAAGTTGGAGAAGAGAAGGGACTAAACGCTTTCCTGAAGTACTGAAAAGACCAAGTCCAGCCTAAACCAAGTCTTCCTGGCTCCTCAATGTAGAAATTCAGAAGCATGGACCTGAGAGAAATAATTACCACATAGCACAGGAAAGACATGCCTAATTTGGATGTATCTCACTAGAAAAATTTGGGAAGCTTGAGCATAAGAGTTTGTATGTGAGTGAAAGAAAGATCCGAGGATCAAGGACAAAGGCAAAACTACAGGTGGGGTGAGAGAAAATAGAAGATCCCTTTGGGGTGACCTATGGCAAACTCAATTGCCTGCAATGGCATACTTTGTTCTGATTCTCCCTTCTTATACACTCAGGTTTTGAGACCATTAAGGCAAGCACTTGCTCTGTGTGGCTGTGGTTGGTGGACTGTAGCCCATTTGCCTTCTTTGGTCAAGAGCTCTGACCCTTTGCAACCTGTTGCCTAGGGCATTGCCTTAATCAACATTAGCATGAAGACCCAGGCTGAGCCTGGAAAATCACAAACAGGGCATCTTTTTACGTATTGATTCAAAAGCCTACTTTCTTTCTTTCTTTTTTTTCCCCAACATTGCTACTTTCTTAGTGCTACACTTATTGGTTTCCATATCATGTCCCAAACAGTTTTTAAGGCTGGTTTTCTCTTACTTCATTGAATTGCTGCTTTGCAAATCACACTTTTCTCTTAGATTTTCAGAACAAAAAATTTAATTTTCCCCAAAGATGAAATTTCAAGATTTTCAGTTAATTTCTCATTGTACCAAATAAAATGCTTCCAATTTAGTTTCATACTTAAGAACTTGAAAATACGTGGGTTATTTTCCCTTTTTTGTGTACGATTTTACTTCAGATTTACTTACAGAACTAAATTCTACTTTTATTTATGGAAGACCACAGTAGTTTGAATTTTTCCAAAATATTTAAATTTTTCTTTATAAAAAAACTTTTTTTACACCCCTCTGGCAGCATCACCAGAGGCAAAACTTTAAACTTAGTTTTAATTCTGTTTAGGGATGAACATTCTATAGTCTGTGAAATTACCTTCCTGCTCAATAGCAAAGCACTTTTTCCCTTTTCAGTGAAAGAAAATGATAGAGGGTTTAGCTTTTTTGTCCACAAAGCTATAATTCTAAGGAGCTTCATGCCTCCAAGTCCCCACAGTATTTCAGTATTATAGAAGCCATTCAAACACACTCCTATCATGATTTTGAAATACACATTCAACAGATTACACTTAAGTCAAATTTACCCTCTGTTGTTCTCAACATCATAAACATCTACAAATGAAGTAAGGATCTTTTCTCTTCTCTGGATGAATTCTGAATTTAGGTAGAATTAGGAACATGGAGATAAAAAGATACACTTTGAAACTTTTAGCAGAAGAGTTCTCACTCTTTTTGCCATTTTTTCATTGGCTGATCAGGCCATAGGCAAAGGTCAGCTGGATTTACCAGGACATAGAAAAGTCAAACTCTAGTAGAAATGGATGCCACTAATCCATACATTTGAATCCCTGCTGAGGCATATTGACTTAGTTTTTTAAATGTATTTTTATTTATTTTGTAAATATTTCCCAATTATATTTTAATCTGGTTTGGGTTATACTTGAGCCCCAGCAGTGTTTGACATCTCTACCCTACATTAAATAAAGCAAAAAATACTCATCAAACACTGTTCTCTCCTTAAAGTCACAGGAGAGAAAATCTTTTACTGACCATTTTCATGACCCTTTGTTTGAAGGCTAATTGGCATGGGACCTCCAAGGAGTCTTAGATCATCTATTAATTGTTTTGACTGGCTCTTAACTATTTTTTATTTCTAAAGGTAGGGAGATATTCATTTCTGGGAAATCAGGTCTACTTTACCCTTTTGATTTTTTTTTCTTTCTAGGCAATTGGAGTTAAGTGACTTGCCCAGGATCACACAGCTAGTAAGTGTCAAGGGTTTGGTCTGAGGCTGGATTTGAACTCAGGTCCTCCTGACTTCAGGACTGGTGCTCTATCCACTATACCACCTAGTTGTCCCCTTTTGATTTTTTTTTAAATAGAAAATTCCCAGTGTCTTGTAGGGATGTGCTTTTCAACTCTTGTTACTATAGCCTTGGCTTTATAAAAGCCCTAAGTCCTCTGGTGCTGATCTAATATCCTTATCTTGCTCACCTATGGTTCTTAGAGGTCTCCTCAAATCAGTAGTAATGTGACACTGAAGAAGCTAGTGAGTTCCCACTTTATAAGGTGCCAGAGGAAATTAGTTTAGTGGGACACTTCTCTTTAAAAGCCTTCTCATTGAGTTAACCTGAATTCAGTATGGGAGTTCCTTTCTTTTATGGTCATTCCCTTAACAAAGTCTTAATTACATGTGCCAAATGTAATGCATGATGTATGATTGATTTACCCTTGACTTAATGTCATATATACTAAGGAGTGCTTCAGAAACACTAAATAGATTTACACTTCTCAATGTACTCAATCCAACTTAATTAATCCAATCATGAAAACAGTACAAATAATACAAAAATCCCTACCCTTCAGCTGTCTGATCCATTCCCAAGGTTCAAAGTTTCACTTCAGCAGACTCCAAGATTAATTCCAGTTGCAACTGTCACCTGAACTCCTGCCTCCTACCTTCAATTGCCTTTTCCAAAGACACTTCAGAAGCAAGAGGATTGCATCACATATATCTTCTTCCCACATAAACTTGCCCATCTACCTATCTTCTCTAGTTCTATTGTAGATCTGTTTCAAGTCTCCATCTTTAAAATGAGACTCTTAAAATTTGTACAAAAGATGAGAGAAGGCATTTGAAAAGTGTTAGTTGAGGTGAAATCAATGAGGTGTGAATCTTTAGTTGTTCCAAACCAGGAACTGAATGCAGTTTTGTAACCAGATTCCAAAGTAAAGTCCTTTGCCCCCACCCTCCCCATCAAGGTGTGAACCAGGTGAGTTAACATCTACTAGATGTGAATCCGGAGGGCTGGATGGAATCGGGGAGGAGGCAAAGGGTTTATATAAAAGACAGCCTTGTGTGTTCTAGAATCAAAAGCTGAGTCCAGGGAGCTTAGACCTGGAGCTACAGATTCTGAAGGAAATCTCCTAAATCAAAGGAAGCAAAGGTAAGTTCCACCTAAGGAATATAATTTTTTTTTTTTGCATTTTCATTGTTAATGGACACAACAGCATCTGCTCATCAAGGACATTAGAACACTAGAAGTTTATGATTCATAGCCTTTGGTATTAAATGGCCATTAAATGTTTATTCAATACAGAGCAGGGATTGTTTTTTTGCTCTCTTAAGATATAAAAATATTTAGAAAATATTCAGTTCCTTTAAAATATCCAAGAACCTGTGGGCTTATGTTTTTGTTTGTTTGTTTTTTAATTTCAGTAACTGTTTGTATTGCCAAGCAAGGATATTCTCAACTTTCAAGGAGGATTAGAGTATCCTTGGATGACTCAGGTTAGCGGGTGGGGAATTCCGGGGGTAAGTTGATTCTAGAGAAGAAAGAAAAGGCTGAAAAAAATATAGGAACATCCCCGTTAGCAGGGAGGGTGGTAAAGTTCAAGTTGGGTTTTGAGGTAAAGTAGGGTTAGGGGCAGATTTTATGACAGAAATGTAAAGCTAAGAAAGGGAACTCAAGGCTCTAAAGATTCCACTGTATCAGAGACTGTGTTTAATTGAGCAAAATCTAGTTCTCTTCAAGGGGAAGGTATTATAGACTTGTGTTATTAAAGAAGGATTCTGAGATGAGTGCCTTTTGAGTTGTTTCACAGGATAGAAACTGTGCTAGAAAGAGGAAGAGGACTTTTGAGATAGTTTTTTTAAAATGAAAAGTGTAGTCAGTATTTAAACAGCAACTTGATGTTGGGTATCATTTTTCTCAGTATGGCCTTATGTCAAGGTAACTCTGTTTATAAATAAGGATTGGTGTGTTAATACATTATCTTCCCACAGACTTGGCTACCAGTACCAAATTCTAAGACTGGGTTCATGGAGGCACTCTAAACTCAGAGAAATAATCTTTGCATTAGTGGCACAAGGGCTCCAGAGAAGAACCAGTCCAGGTTGCACTTCACTGTCCCACACGGGTGTGTTGAAGATCCAGAGGTGAATAAGTGGAGACAGTAGTTTAAAACAAAGGTATTATGGTTTCCCAATAGGGCAGATAATTTCTCCATTATAATTATTGGACCATAGAGGGAACGTGAAAGTAAGCATTGCTCATACTGTGATTAATGTTTCTAACGATAATTTAGGTTGTGAAACTGAAAGTGTCCAGAGGACTGAGGGGTGAATCAGCTCAAGGAGGAAGGTGCTGAGGACCCTCCATTTCTTCAGGAGACTCATTTGTCCTTTGTCTTTCTCCTCAGGCACATGGCTGGGATTCACTTAGCTGAACACTTCAAGGAAGAGCTGACATGCCCTGTGTGCATGGACTACTTCAGAAACCCAGTGACCTTGGGCTGTGGCCACAGTTTTTGCCACTCATGCCTCCTCGACAGCTGGGGAGAAGATGACAGGCCCTGCCCTTGTCCTCTATGCAAAAGAGACTTCCAAATGAGAAACTTGGAGTCCAACCACCGCCTGTGGAAGCTGGCCAGCATAGGCCAGAAACTGAGACCCTATTTACTGCAGTTAGAAGAGGAAAAGATCACATGTGAGAGACACCAGGAGGAGAAGAAGTTGTTTTGTGAAACAGACCAATTCTTCCTCTGTGTATATTGTTTTCAATCCCAGGAACACATCAGGCATACAGTACATACTGTAAAAAAGGCTGCAGAGGATTCTAGGGTAAGTGTTTCTGGTTAAAAGTTGTCTAAAGGGGCAGCTAGGTGGCTCAGTGGAGTCAGGAGGACCTGAGTTCAAATACGGCCTCAGACACATAACACTCACTAGCTGTGTGACTCTGGGCAAGTCACTTAACTCCAATTGGCCAGAAAAGAAAAGGAAAAGGAAAGCAAGAGCTGTCTAGGTTGCATTCCTTCTCTCCCAATTGGTGGATCTTCTGAGCCAATCACTTGTATCAGAAGCAGCTGCTTTGGAAGCCATGGAGCCCCAAAAAGGCCATCAAGCTCTGGGTTAGCTCCATCTTTCAGTTCCCAGACTACAAATAGCAAGAGGCACTCTAAATATTATTGGCCTTTGTGCTCTGATCTAGTGGGATTTTGCTAATCTAGCTCAGGGAAGAGCATCATGAGTGAAATAATGGCTGGTATTTCCTTAGGACAAACTTCAAAAGGCTTTGGATCTTCTCAGGAAAGAAGTGGAGACAGTTCAGAACATGCTGGCAGAAGAGAGAAAGAAGGGGAAGATTTGGAAGGTGAGTGCCTTGCTCCTTGACAGGGAGTCAATATTCACGACAGCCTGAGGCTCCAAGGTCTTTAGCACAGTCCCAAAGGGACCTTGAGATTCCTAGCAGGCAGTAGATATTGGTGCCAGTGAAAATCCCCCTTGAAGATTTCAGGCTTTTGAAAAGTTTGTTCAGAAGGACCAGAACTTGTGATTTCAATGGTGTTTGAACTTTTGAATTAGGATCCTCCCTATAGCAATAGTGGCCCAGAGAAGTTTTAAAGAGTTTTAGTTTAGTTTAGTTTTAGAGTTACTTAGAGCCAGGAGTGGTTAAAGAATGTGTAAAGGAGGGGAACTAGGTGGTGCAGTGGATAGAGCACTAGCCCTGGAGTCAGGAGAACCTGAGTTCAAATCTGGCCTCAGACACACTCACTATCTGTGTGACCCTGGGCAAGTCACTTAACCCTGATTGCCTCAAGGAAAAAAAAAAAGAAGGTATATGGGGTCACCAGGCCAGTATATACTAGAAGCATGTCTTGAACAACCTATGTCATCTTGGCTTTGAGACCACTACCTCAAATTATCTCTCACATTAGATGATATTTATGTACAAGAAAAAATTTCCTAAAGAAAAGGAGGAAAGGGCTTTGGAACATGGACTTATAGGCCTTTGTACCTTATTGGACTAAGTTACTTCTTTGCAGGAAGAGGTTCAAACTTGGAAGGAGACTATGATAGCTGAATATACAAGATTCCATGAATTGCTGAAGAAGGAAGAGAAGCTTCATTTTCACATAATGGCCAAGCAGGAAAGTGAAGACCTGAAGAATATAAGAGAAAATGAGACCAGACTTTCCCAGCACCTTCACAGCTTGAGAGAGGTGATCATGGACATTGAACAATATAGCTGGAAGACAAATAGCCAGCTTCTGCAGGTGAGACCTGGAAAAGAGTTTAATAGTCTAACAACATTTTATTCAGCCAGCTCCCCAAGACCTTCAAATTCTGGCAAAGAATGAACAAACAACAGATATGGTAAGCTTATGAAATGAAGTAGCTTCCTAGTTTAAACAGAGTTCTAATAAGCCTGGTCCCCTAAGTTTTCCAGAGGATAAATGAAGATAAGAAAATTATTTGAGACTTCTCCTTAGGTAGATTTGAATATATGGTTGCTGGAAAAGTCAGCTGCTAGAGAAAAGCCATCACCAAGAAAAAAAAGAGCAAATTTCCTAAATCAAAAAGTCTCATAGCACATGGGCATTCAGCATAGTCACAGATACCCCAATACAGACTCTGATAGAGCTGGAGGTTACCATTCAGCTCTTCATAACAGTAATATGTGTTCCTAATGATGCTAAGAAAATACTAAAATATGTTTCATGTACTCTGGTTGAGCATGCAGGAAATTAAGGTCAATGTTTTACTAAGACTTCATGGAAATATGTTAGAAATCAAACTAAAATGTGTAAGCATAAGGCTATTGAGCTTTCCACTTTTCACAAATCCTCTTGATGAATATCTCAAGCCACAATGAGTCTGGATCCATGAGGTATTTGAGAAATTAGGGTCAATTGTTCTCAATATATGTGACTCTGTGGGCAAGAAGGAGAATCCTGTCACAGAAGTGCCTGTATATAAGGCATAGTAGAGCCCAATACTCACCCTTTCTCTCTCTTTCTCTTTAGGTGGTAGGAGGTACATTGACCAGGTAAGATTCAATTTTGAGTCCTGTTAAGAGCAGTAGAACAACAGGGTAAAGTTTGTTGGTGGGAATATAGAGAGGAAACATAGAATGAAGTGGCGATTAGGAGGGTCTGTCCGATGGGAAGACAGGTCAATGAGGCCAGAAGCCTATGCTGATCCCTGAAGATAAATAAGCCTGTCCTCTGCAGGTGTGAATCACTCTTGGGTCATAGTCCAGAGACTGCCACCATTTCAGCGATCATTTTTCAAAACACTATGATGTGGGAAATGCTGAAGTGCTTCAAAGGTAAGAATGAGCACTGGAGTCATTAAAGCTACATTTCAAAGTACCTAGTTACTTCCTTGATGCCTTGGTTATGGTGGCTAGTTGGGTGGGCATCCAGGAAACTGACACTTTCTTAACCCTATGGCTACCTAGAGGCAACAAAAGGAGCATGAAGATCATTTCTTTGTGAAAAGGAAGGGAGTTTTCTTTTCCTGAAAAATTTGTTCCTCTGGAGCTGGAAGTATTTCTATGGGGGCAATGTCAGCTTACAACTGATACAGTGAGTGAAGACTCTTGCCTTCACTTAACAGTAATACATATGCTCTGATATTTGTTATGCAGACTGTGAGACAATTTAAAACAGCGTGGTCCTCCCACTGAAGTAACTCTTCTTTGGGGAACTTTTCTGCTCTGATGTCATGGATACAGAAGAATTCAGTTAGTGGGGACCTTGTGTTGAGCCTGTTTGTCCACTCAGGCCCTCAGAAGTTAAACCATTCAACTACTTGTTCTTTCTTTTCAGTGGATGTGACCCTGGATCCCCAAAATCCCTCTCCACATCTCATCCTGTCTGATGATCTGAGGACTGTGGTACATGGGGGCAGCCAGCAGAATATATACTTCTCCACCAATAAATATGAAAATAATTTCATTTTGGGGGCTCAAGTCTTCACGTTTGGCATCCACTACTGGGAGGTTGAAGTGGGAGTTAGCAGGCAATGGGCAGTTGGTGTATGCAAGAAATCACTGAGGATAGATGAAGGGCTGTTTTTCCCTTTTGAGGAAATATTCCTTCTTTCATGTGTTAGGAAAGGAGATAGGTATACTATCATGACTACTCCACCCTACTTTGAACAACAGGTCCATTTCCCTATCCACAGGATTGGGATTTTGCTAGACTGTGTTGAAGGGACCATATCATTTTATGATGCCTTGGAGAGATGCTTCATATATCGTTTCCCTCATTTCCCTTTCTCTGGGCCACTTCAACCCCTCTTTTCTCCTTGTCCTCCAATAGGGGAAGAGAATGGAATTCCTATGACTATTAGGCCTTGACATATTTCTAATTTTAAGGCATTATAATACTAATGTCTGAAGAAGACTCAGTTCCAAAACTAAAGTATGTCTGGCCAGCTCTCAATAGTGTTTATAAGGTGTTATCTCAAAGTATTTATGTTGGGTATTTGGTAGGGAAACTTTAGATTTTTGTTATTTGGCATTTTTACAAAGAAATGAACTGCTTGCTCCTTTTGCTGCCTCTGGGTAGCCTTAGGGTTAAGAAAGTGCTGCGTTTCCTGGATGCACACCAAACCAACCACCTTAACCATTTTTTTTAATGGAACCTTGTCAGAAAGACAACTATTCTGCCAAATAAACATTCAGTAACCGTCAATCAGGCTTGTTCTAAATCTGGTATTGTAACAGATTTATGTCTAGACCTGTCATTTAATAGATGCTTTGCTTTAAGAAATCCACATATCCCTTTTAAGGACAGGTTGTTGTTATTTTTATTTTTTTTTTATATTATAGAAATGGGAAATAGTTTTCCCCCTTACTGAATAGGTTAATGGTAAACTATAAAGGAGATATATCAAAAGTCCTTTGTAAGGGTAGAATTCCGTTTAACTATGATGTCAAATAATTGTTACTGAGCTGGTTACCTTCAGTAAAGATGTATGTCCATTACTTTGAATGTCATTAAAAGTTGAAAGTTTAAAAGAAATGATTTTTATTGTAATTTGTGTCTACAAAAAGTTGTATAATAATCATGGTAACCACGTAGTTGGGGGACATAGAGAATGAATACTCGAGAAAAAACTGTAGAAATAAAACCATTTTAAGGAATGAGCAGATCAAAGGACAAATCATTGGAGCTATATATGTCTTATAGAGAGCAATAACAATGAAACAAAGCAGGACAACTCTTAAGAAGAAGCAGAAACAGAATCATTCTCAAAAATGACAATTTATTCCTCAGAATACACATTAATGCATTTCAAAGAGAGGGAAATAACAAATTTACTATGAAATAAAAAATTTCTTAGATGTATACAAACTAATCCTAAAAGAAATACAAAAGAAGACATTTTAAAATTACACACTGATGTTTTTAAAGCCTATTAATATAAAGACTGTTAAAAGTGATTTTTAAAAATATGTTAGTATATAAAAAATTTAAAAAATATGTAAGTATATATAGGAATTTATGAGCAGGAAGACAAACTTTCCATTCTCTCTATGAGATGTATTAATTTCTGGTTAGAAGTTATCAGAATGGAGATTTTTAAAACCAAATAACTATCCCTCTTACACAGAGCATCATTTACCTTGCCCTGTTCAAATGGTAGAGATTTTTCTCAACTATGATGAAAGGATTTTTATAAAAAGCATGAGATACCCTTCTGTGTAACTCTTTTCTTTGCTGCTAAGCTTCCTTCCAGTGCCTGCAGCACCTCCTCCTTCTAGGCTCCTTGCTGCTTCTCACAAACCTTTATGTGTATTGTTCAGAGGATGAAGAGATTAGAACCAATTGAAGAATCAGACAAGTAAGTCTCCATGAAGTAGTTGACAATCTAGCTCTTATAGTATGTGAAGGAACTGGGCACAATACTGTATTAGATGTCCCCAACTTTGACAAAATCAAAAATACAGATAAACCAAGGATAAAGGAAGGTTAGGGAATGGTATGTCAAATGCAGGGCTGTAGCTAGTTAGGTTTGGGTTTAGCAAATATATGAGACAAGGAATCGAAGCAGATTGGGTTGTGAATGACTAGAGGGAAGGGCTTCCTTAAATGTCTTTGCTTTGCCAACAGCCCTCCTTCGGTTTGCTCTAGAGCATGGGGTTAGGGATTGTGATGCCCTTTGACTGCCTATGATCTACACCAATTCCAGACCTCCTTTTTAAGCTAGGTCTCCCTCATCCAGTTTCTTTTGGTTACTTTGCAACATGGGGTGTGAATGGGAATAAAGGATGTTGAGTGGAAATTAACCTGATAGAAGCCAAATGCCCAAATTAGGGGGCCAAAAGAACCCAAAATGTCTTCAGCCACTGAAGGCTAGATCTCCTTGACATGAATAGGTATAGCAGCCAAGAGCAATATTATCTTAGTGTCCCAAAATGCAGCATTTCTTTTTTTGTGTTTTTTTTCCCAATTTACATGTAAAGACAATTTTTAACATTCACTTCTTAATAAGATTTTGAGTTCCAATTTTTTTCTTCCACCTTCCTTCCCCTCCCTCCTCCCTAAGACAGTAAGGAATTTGATATAGGTTATATTATGTGCAATCATGTAAAACATATTTCTATATTGATCATGTTGTGAAAGAAGAAACAGAAAAAGGAAAAAAAAACTACAAAAAAATTTTAAAAGCAAAAATAGTATGCTTTGATTTGCATTCAGACTCCATCAGTTCTTTCTCTAGATGTGGGTAGCATTTTCCATTGTGAGTCTTGGATCACTGAATTGCTGAGAAGAGCTAAGTCAATCATAGTCGATTATTGCATAATGTTGCTGTTATTGTGTACAATTGTATTTCTTACAATAAGAAGCACAATTGTATTTCTTAAGAAAACAGAAAAATGTAGTGATGGAGAGAAAAGAAATCTTGAGATAGTTTGGTATTAGATCCAAAGAAGACAACTGAACTCAAAACCATTTATGGATGAAGAGTGGAACAAATTTATGCAGTGACCTCTTCTTATAGCTAATCACAGTGAAACACCCATATTTATACCCAGTGCTTTAGAATATTATGTGCTATATGAGGACATGAATATAGCATTTAAGAAAATGAGGTTAAAAAAAGAATGAGGTTGAGAAAGGTAATCAGATCTAAGTACCCACAGACAAAATACATGATGGAGGCAGAAAATTTTTTAAAGTAGGCATGGATCAGTTTTCAAAATATTTCAAAGAGAAGAAGGCACTCAAAAATTTGGGCAAAATTATTAGCCCATAAGTCAGTATTGAGAATCAGTATAACATATCATAGTAAATAGAGCCCTCACTTCAAAGTGAAGAAGAGATGGATTTGAGTCTTGAATCTGTGATTATTGGACAAATCATTTCATCCTATGCTTTAGGCAACTCATTCAAACTATGAGTTGCAGAGTAGGTGTGATACTGCATTGGGAACCAGATTGTCCATTCTGGACATCCTCTATGTAAACGAAACAAGTTATTCTCAAGTCTAGTTTGGACTCAAAAATGCCACAAGTCTGGAGCATATATGGTTTTTGATATCTTGCCTCTACACACTCCTACTCCTACTCTCTCTTCATTGGATTTCCATGAGACAACCATCTCATGCTTTCCAGGCTCTCTCTCTCTCTCTCTCTCTCTCTCTCTCTCTCTCTCTCTCTCTCTGACTTTTCTTCTTCTTCCTCTTACTCATTCCTTATATTTCCCTATATAATGAAAGGTATAGGTTCAAATTCAATTAAAACATTACTTTTAGTAACCAGTGAGATGAAAACATTAATTTGCCTTGCATTTCTCAATGCTAGCAATTCAACTTTATTAATCCAATGCATTTAATGTTTATTAGTTCACATATCTTATTAGACAATACAAACATTTGTTTCATTAGGAACAAATTCCCAACCACATTTGCTAGGGCTGTCCAGTAAATATATCTCATACTGGTTTGCAAGAAGGAAGTTTCCTTTTTTGCCCAGCCAGAGCCTGTGTGTCTCCCTCCAAGGTAGTTGCCTGGTAAGTTGTCGAATCTCTGTCAATCAGTACTTCCTATATGCAAACATGGTGGATACTTAAGTCTCATTTGTGGGGAAATGAAGGAGCCACCACTCCATCACTCTATCACCACCTAGAGATTTGGGATTTCTAGTAGGTTTCTTTTGGTTCTTTCTAGTTTGGTTACTACACCCAAATTCTCATTGGTGATTGATTACCTAAGCTTACCATGAAAGAATACTATCAGCCCAAGCTAACATCACCAGCAAGTGTTTTTCAGTGATTTACTAAATTTGGAGGACATAAAAATCATCAGTAGTCTTTAAAATCACAACTGAGGGCAAGGTATTCTCCTCATCTGTAGCTGTTTATCGAATTTTGAGATACTTATATATATCATTAGTAGTTTATTACCAAATTTGAGGAACACTTACATCATTGACAATTGTTTACTAAATTTGGGAGACATGCATATGTCATCAGTAGTTGTTTACCAAATCTAGAATACAGACACAGATATCATTTCCAAACTATAGCACTCAAGTCCTTATTACAGAAAAAAAAACAGTTTACATAAAAGCTACTCAGTCACTAAATGGAGTCAGTTATATCAAGTCAATAAACTTTTTTTCATTGTGCCCTGGCACCGTAAATGTAGATGTTCACCAACATTAGAACTCTGTTTCCTTTTATTCTTAAAAGAGTCTATCTCTGATTGCCATGGCTTCAGTTAACATTTTTAGGAAGTTATTCTGAAATCAGTACCTCCTGACCCAATCTCTCCCCTGATCACTTGTGTTACATCTATATTTGCATCTTAAATATCCCCATCATGGCATCCCCTTGACTTTTCAAAGGTTATGTCTTTGCCCCTTGACTTTTCAAAGGTTATGTCTTTGCCCCTTAACTTTTCTAATATCAAGTCTCCCTCATTTGATTCATTTTTTAAATAAAGGGTTTGCTGGAAAGACTTGGTCTGATGCTGAATTAAGTGAGCAGAACCAGGAGAACGTTGTACACAATAACAGCCACGTTGTGCAATGACTAATATTGATAGACTTAACCCTTCTCAGCAATACAAGGATCCAAGACATCCATCTCCAAAGACCTCATGCTATCCACATCCAGAGAAAGAACTATGGAGTTTGAATGCTATTTTTTTCTTCTGTTTTGTTTTGTTTCCTCTTTCTGGTGTTTCCTCCTATCGGTTCTAATTCTTACTCACAACATCACTAATGTGAAAATATGTTTAATAGGAATGTATATGTATAACCTACATGGGAAGGGAGGTGGGGAGGGAAGGGGAGAAAAATTTAAAACTCAAAAGCTTATGGAAGTGATTGTTGATAATTCAAAATAA